AAATATATATTATATAAATGTATTTAGAATCCGCAATGCACAGCGTACACACCTGTGGTATCGTACAGATACGACAGCACGCACAGCCCAAAGCAGTATACCACCAGCCACCGCAACGGCTTGCGCATGTAGTGCACAGGGGACACCCACCCACCCAACCCATACAGAAAGATCGGCAGAGTCAGCAGAGACGAGAACGCCAGGCCCCACCCCATGCACATGACAAAGCACGCAATGTGATTGTACCGCTCAAGTAGCTCCATGGCCAGTGACTTGCTCACCCTCTGCTGTGTGGGTGTGGGTGCGTGTATGTGGGTGGGTGCGTGTGCGGGTGTAGGGTGGTCGTGTGCTGGGTGTGGCGTGTATGCCTGTTGTGCATCTCTCTCTCCCTCCGTGTGTGTGTGTGTGTGTGTGTGTGTGTCTGCATGTGGGCCATGGGTCGCCAGCCCATCGCTCGAGCCATGCGCCACAAGCCCTGTCTCCTCATCATTACCGTTCGTGTATCTGTAATCACTCTGTGCGGTATAGGCCTCCCTTGTGTGGGGTGTGTTATGGGTGGTGTGTGTGTTGTGTGTGTTGTTGTTCGTGTACATGCTCGTGTATGCCTCATCCGCAGTGTGCGTGGGCGTGTGCATGGCGGCGTAGTCGTAGTCACAGTCGTAGGCGAAGTCCGACGCGGGTGAGCGTAGCTGTGCTGTGTCGCTGTTAGTGACGAACAGACACACCAGTACCAACGATATCACCATCACCATGTGGTCCGGTCTAGAGATCATCCACACCTGTGATATACAATCCGACACAGATATTTTAACGTTAAAAGTTAAAATCTACGAATTACTCGGATATTTCGCACTAGCCACACCGTCATCATCCATACCTGTCATTCAACATCTGATACGAATATTTTAACGTTAAAAGTGAAAGGCTATCAATAATTCGGTAGTTTCACGCTAGTAACAGCGCCATCACCACGTGGTCTGGCTAGATGCTCATCGAACACCATTGAATATATATCACACAAATTATACGGTACACAAACAATCTACCATACATAAACATGATATAATACACAAATATTATTATATATCACAAAAACGTTATTATAACATACACAAACAATATATAATACACCAACGGTACTATGTAATACACAAACATTATATTTATATAATGCACAAACATTATTAAATAATACACAGACATTACAATATAATACACAAACACTATACAATACACACATGTTTCCACATATTACGCACACCCCCCACCTACCAAATACAACGGCGGACAGGGCAATAATACACAAACATTACACAATACACAAACATTACTATATAATACACAGACATTACAATATAATACACAAACACTATACAATACACACACATTTCCACATATTACGCACACCCCCCACCTACCAAATACAACGGCGGACAGGGCAAAAATACACAAACCTTATATAATACACAAGCATTATTATATAATACACAGATAATATAATATAATACACAAACACTATACAATACACACATTTCCACATATTACGCACACCCCCCACCTACCAAATACAACGGCGGACAGGGCACTGCCTTGCCGTACACGCCCACCAGATCCAGCAGACCCAGAGCATTGAGCAGGCGAGTCTGGACGGCAGAGTAGGCGTACTCGGTACCTACCAACTGGAACACACTCAGCGTCACCAGATGCAATAGAGCGTAATACAGCCCCACACGCCGCACTATCTTCGCATGGGTGAGCAGGTGCAGCCGCCTGTGTGTGTGTGAGGGGGCCAGAGGATATGGAGTGTGTGTGCAAATAGCAGTGTATATGGGGTTGTAGGGAGATTCGGCGGTTTGTAAGCACACACACATACGGTTTCAAAGTATCGTAAGTATGTGAGGACACTCGCCTTTCCCGAATAAGGAGAGCGTAGTACAGTCCTTGTGCGTCGAAGCAATGTACGCAGGGGTGTATACATGTAACTGTCTGTGGGAGTGAGGGAGACTAGCGCTAGTGTATGTGCATAGGAGACGCACCCGATTGGATGTATATGCAGATATATGTATCATGCAGCATCACCATAGCAACCATATCAGACACATGAACATATGCTCAAACCCCAAACGAACAAGTGTCCTAGCCCCACACATATGTATGGAGACAACAGGGCATACAGTAGCGACGTGTTCGCAGGCACAAACAAACTTCTTTATACGTTATATGTCAATAGCACCAGCATGCATCCTTAAATACGACCCAACGTATTGGAAAGAACGGAACAAACTAACGGACAAAATGTCACCAAGGAAAGAGCAAAGGGCAACGCTTAGTTCAAACGCAATAGACAGTGTACTAATACAATTCAAATGGTGATATATTCACAGTATATGATTCTACAAATACCCTATTGTAGATACAACACATGACTCAGACAAACACAAGCCTTACCTAGGACACAGCAGGACAGACATCACAGCCACACGAGAAGGTACGGCGCATTCAACAGCCACCGATTGGGATGCACTCATTTACTTTTGTGTTACTTTGTATACGGATATCATCAGCACAAACCGCGTAAAAAGCCTTACCTGAGACACAGCAGAACAGGTATCACGGCCACACACAGAAAGTACGGTGCATTCAACAGCAACGGATTGGGATGCACCCATTTACTCTGTGTTACTTTGTATACGGATATCATCAGTATAACTCGCGTATAGGAACGCTCAGCATACACACAGAGGCCACAAGCCTCACCTGAGACAAAGCAGAACAGGCATCACAGCCACACACAGAAAGTACGGTGCATTCAACAGCAACGGATTGGGATGCACCCGTTTACTTTGTGTTACTTTGTATACAGATATCATCAGCATAACCCGCGTATAGGTACGCACAGCATACACACAGAGGCCACAAGCCTTACCTGAGACACAGCAGAACAGGCATCACAGCCACGCACAGAAAGTACGGCGCATTGAGCAGCGACGGGTTGGTGGCGCCCGCAGTCAGTACCACCGCAGGCGTAAACCCACGGGTGAAAGCCTCGCCCATGCGCAGCATAAACACATGCACGCGTGTGCTCCACGGTGTCACCTGCTTCTCTCCATGTGTGTGTTGGAGGGGGTGGGTATGTGCGTGTGTGTGTGTGTGTGTGTGTGTCTGTAGGCTGTCACCGCTATCTCCGTCGCGTGTGTGCGCGAGAGTGTTATCGCTGCCGGCCGTGTAGTCGGCGTCGTCGTAGTAGTTGTCATCCGGAGACTCGAAGAACAGTTCGGTACTTTCATCCGAAGCATAGCCCGCTTCGGGGGTGTAGGAATAGTCGGGGGTATAGCTATCGTAGGTACGTTTATCGTAGGTAGGCACAGTTTGGGTATAGTTCGATGGGGTGCCATAGTACGATTCTTCGTCCGAGAGGGACGCCCGCGATGGCGACCCTACGGGCGACACCGAGACAAGGGAATCTGTGCTGTGAACAAACCCTGCACTATTCTGCGGTCTATTAATAGAATGAGTGCTATTTATAGATTGCGATCTATCTATAGCTATCTCGCCATCCGGAGAATGAAGACTAGTCGTAGAATGCGTGCTACCCACACTATGCACACTCCCACTGCGCGAGGCCCTATCCTCAGCCACCCCCTCCACCCATGAGTCACCATGTACGTTTACATTGGAAGTCGTATTCACCTTACCGTGCATGTGTGTATCTAGTTCAGTATGACTATCCGGTGGGGTGTGTGTGCTGTCATCTGTGTGCATGTCTGAATTCAGCGCAGTATTACTATCCACGTATGTGTGAATATTGTCGACGGCGTGCGTGGGGCTCTCTACCGCCGCCGTAACTACATCGGAGCCATCCCATTGGTCGGTTTCTAAATTGGTATTACTTGCTGCCTTATCATTTGCTGAGGAATATTCTCCCTCCTGATCCCCATCAACACCAACCCTCCCCGGTAGTGCTGTTTGTGTCTGGATCGAATGATTCTCGTTCTCTCCTTTTTCATTAAAAGAAACCCCATTCTCTAAACTTTCCTTGGCTTTTGAAAGGTTCTGCATATTCGGCGTCTCGTTCGCAGGAGAATTCGATGGACTTCCGACCAACTGAATGGTGGTTTCATTGAGGGCAACAAATAAACCATCTAATTAAACTGTTGAGTGTGTACGATATCAATATAATAATAAAGTCGTATATATATATTTATATATATATATATATATATATATATATATATATGTATGTATATATGTATGTATATACATATATATACAAACATCATAAATACATACATGCATACATGTATACATACATACATACGTACATGCACACATACATACATATATATACATACATGCATGCATGCATACTTATATACATACATACATGCATGCTTACATACTTACATACATACTTACTTATTTCCATACATACATACATACATATATACATACATAAAATATACATACATACATGCATACATACATACATGCATGCATGCTTGCACACATACATACATACATACATGCATGCAAACATACATGCATGCATTCTTGCATACATACATACATACATACGTACATAAATACATGCATGCATACGTACATGCATGCCGTCTGTAAACCTGGTAAACGTAGTATGCAAACTGGGTCCAGCCCCAAATAGTTTTGTAAATAAGTAAACGCGGTTGATGTACCTGCTCTTGGCTGCGGCTAAGTGCGGATCGCTGAGTGAATTGCGACAGGGCTGTATACAAGTCCAGATCCAGCTCTTCGGGTTCGTCGTCTTTCTCTAAGTACCGAGCATCTCGTGAGAATATATGATTCATCACCCCCACCGCCACCAGTAGCAGCTCAGGGCCCTGTAACAAGTATACGTAATACAATAGCTTATGCACTATGCTTATCACAGACTAGCGAATTGAAAGTCGTGAGAGAAGGATATAGTACCGAACTTCACGTGAGAATACAGGAATCGTCACGCCTGCCGCCACCAGCAGCAGCTCAGGGCTCTGCAACAAGTATGCGTACTTCAACGAGTATGCTAATTGCCACAGGTGAACTGAGACAAAACACACTAGATAATTAGGGCCCAATTCAGCGGCGTAGTAGGGCAGGGGACAAATCCAGATCCGCATCCCCCGTATATACCATACACACACACTCGGTTAATCTTACAGACAGCCAAAATACCTATGTCGATTGATTGTTGACTTACGATAGAGAAGGTAACATCCACAGCTGGATTGAGATCGAACCGCACTAGGCCAATTAGGGCCCAATTCAGTGATCTAGAGGAGCAGGCGGGGTCCAGTACGTGTGCATACGGGCGAGAGGCCAAAATTAGGACGGTTTGGAACACAGCCTGCAAGCACAGTACCAGGAGGGTGTACGCGATACTCATGTACCGTGCAACTGTCAGTAACGACACTCCTGCAAATATCAAAATCAATTATTTTAGTGGGAGCAAGAGATAACGAATATATATATGTGTGTGTGTGTGTGTGTGTTTGTGTGTGTGAAAGTGTAAGTTGATAATAAAACATGACCATGTGCATACGGATGAGAGGCCATAATAAGAACGATATACAACAAACCCTGCAAAAAGTACCAGGAAAATAAACCCTAATATACCTTACGATTACAAGCAACGGCACACAAGTGACAATCATAATCGAACTTAACTGGATACAAGTTGTTACTCTAAAGCACGAATATACGTATGTATATCCGTACGCATGTCATATATTATATATATAAATATATACATATATATATATATATATATATATATATATATATATATATATATATATATATATATATATATATATATATATATATATATATATATATATATATATATATATATATATATATATATATATATATATCTATAACTATAT